TCCTTTTCCCTGCAGCGCTCAACCCCCACCCTGTCCCAGGTCCCACCCCCAGATATCCCCACCCTACATGCCTATTCCTGCCCTGCCTCTTCCCACCCAGTTTTGTCCCTTCCCCGAAGCGAGCCCCATTTTTGCCACTTCTCCCTTATCCCCAATGCTTCTTGCCCATTGTGGAACAGCTGATTGTGGTGGGCAGGAGTTGCTGGGGGGAAGGAGTTGATTGGCAGGGTCACCAGCAGGCAGAAAGCACGGGGGACATAACGGGATGATCTGGCTCCTGGTGGGCATTCAACACCCAGTAATTTTTTTCTGTGGGTGCTTCTAGACCTGGAGCACTCACAGAGTCAGCAAGTATGAGGAAAATCCCCAGCTACACCATCCCTCTATCCCCTTTGTTCTGAGAAAGCAGCACATAGGAGATGGAGCCAGTATTGTAGCCCCTAACCTATGCTTGCTCAAAATATCACCTTTCCAACATTAATTTCAGATGTTCCCAAACCTTACAAGTGACTGGTTGGCATGAGAGTGAGGGAGCCTTTCAGCAGTTGGAATCAGGTCTGTGTGCGCCATGACAAAGCCATTATCACTGTACATCTCTCTTTGGAGATCTATGTTGAACAAAATGACAGTCTTGGGATAAATCCAGTGAAGCTTCCCACAACATAAGAAACTAGAACTTGGCTTGTACGCTTAGTGGAAGTCTCAGCAGAGGCCAAAATTTCCAGCAGAAGGTGATGGGAAGGAATAGAAAAGCCTGAACTACCAGGCTGCATCTAGATTGGCATGATTTTCCGGAAATGCTTTTAATGGAAAAGTTTTCTGTTAAAAGCATTTTCGGAACAGAGCGTCTAGATTGGAACGGACGCTTTTCCGCAAAAGCACTTTTTGCAGAAAAGTGTCTGTGCCAATCTAGACGCGCTTTTCCGCAAAAAACCCCCGATCGCCATTTTTGCGATCAGAGCTTTTTTGCGCAAAACAAATCTGAGCTGTCTACACTGGCCCTTTTGCACAAAAGCTTTGCGCAAAAGGGACTTTTGCCTGAACGGGAGCAGAATAGTATTCCCGCAAGAAGCACTGATTTCTTACAGTAGGAAGTCAGTGCTTTTGTGGAAATTCAAGTGGCCAGTGTAGACAGCTGGCAAGTTTTTCCGGAAAAGCGGCTGATTTTCCAGAAAAACTGGCCAGTCTAGACTCAGCCCCAGTGTATACAGTGCTTTGTGTGTATAAAGCTCATCTCATCCTTCAACACTGGAGGAGAGGGATAGCATAGTGGTTTGAGCATTGGCCTGCTAAACATAGGATTGTGAGGCCAATCCTGGAGGGAGCCAGTTAGGGATCTGGGGAAAATCTGTCAGAGATGGTACTTAGTCCTACGGAGAGGACAGAGGATTGAACTCAATGGCCTCTCGAGGTCCCTTCCAGCTCTATGAGATGATATATTTCCATATATTATTATTATCATCCTTCAACACTGACACATTTAATTAGAAATGTACTCATTAAAAAAAAACCTGAAACCAGATAATGTTGTAACTATATGTAAAAAAAGGCAAATAGCATAACAAAAACCAAAGGAGCAATGTCTGGATAGTTTCAGCTCCAGGTGATTATTTTGCAGCTTGTCTATTGGCCACATGACTTCAACGGGAATCCAGGCAGGACATCGTTAATGAGAATGTAATAGAAAAGGCTGGCCTATAGCATTTAACTGGGAATAGTAATTCTCTAAGGCTGTGTCTAGACTACATGCCTCTGTCGGCAGAGGCATGTAGATTTGTTTGTTCAGCAAAGGCAAATGAAGCTGCGATTTAAATGATCGCGGCTTCATTTACATTTACAGGGCTGCCGCGCTGAGCCGACAAACAGCTGATCAGCTGTTTGTCGGCTCGCGCGCTAGTCTGGACGTTCCCCCTGTCGACATCAAAGCCCTTTGTCGGCAGCCCCGGGAAACCTCATTCCACGAGGAATAACGGGGCTGCCGACAAAGGGCTTTGATGTCGACAGGGGGAACGTCCAGACTAGCGCGCGAGCCGACAAACAGCTGATCAGCTGTTTGTCGGCTCAGCGCGGCAGCCCTGTAAATGTAAATGAAGCCGCGATCATTTAAATCGCGGCTTCATTTGCCTTTGCTGATCTGTCTAATCTACATGCTTCTGCCGACAGAGGCATGTAGTTTAGACGTACCCTAATAGAATTCTTAAACCAACTTTCACAGGAATCTAACTCCAATAAATCACACAGGATCATTCTCTAATCCTTTATATGGGCTTTACAGTACAATTTCTTACCTTAGTTAGTTCTATAGGACCTTACCACACACGAATACAGTTGAAGGATTATAATTAAATCTCAAACTCGTGTAAATTCTGCACAAGATTGAAACGGTCCCCAGTTTTGTGCTAGTTCAAGAATTTTTCATTTGAGAAGGACTGGGGTTTCCAAGCTCTTTGTGTGCATTCTTGTGCTTCTCTCCATCTTCTGCGTGAAACAGTTTTGGTTTCTGCACCCTCTCAGATGTTAAGTCAGTGCTAATTTGGGGAAAGCAGTTTTCACATTCAGCACTGACAGACTGATAACTGAATCCACAAAGGAATGACACATTTTCAGGGATGAAGTGCAGGGGATGTGGACAATGGCTGTGCTTTCCCACTGCATAAATCCTCCTGACTCAGCTGTCACTGTGTGACTCTACTGCACAAAAGCAGCTTTAAGTTGCCTGACTGGGCTTTATTTCACCTAGGACATCAAATTGGACATGCATTCTGTGCTATTCTTAATATTAATCTACCCCATTGCAAGATACTCTCTTGGCAAAATCTATCTATATAGATCGGTGACAATCACTCACTTCCACTTCAATGTTCCCTGAAGTGCAGACACCCTGTCTATCATCAGAACAACAAGAAATCAATGAGCAATATTTCTAGGCAGTGAGGTGACAACTACTTGCAGAAGCAATAACCAAGTTGATGCAAACCTGTTCTTCTTGCTACGTTCAGACTGCAGTGCTTTTTACTGTAGTTATCCTGGAAAATTTCCGAAAAAATGGACATGTTCTTTTGCCATCTTGGTAAACCTTGTTTTATGAGGAAGAAGGGATGGCTCAAAAGAGCAGGCTTTTTTGAAATTTGTTGCTGTTTAGACGCGCCAAATTTCGGAAATGCCTCTTTCAGAAGAAAAATGGAAAAAGATACGCACATTTTCCTTCACAATTTGCGTATCTTTTTCCAACTTTTCCTTGTAGTCTAGACATAGCCTCTGTCTTCCAAAGGAGTTTTTCAACTGATTTCACTGGGAGCAGAATCAGATTTAATGTGTTAATCATTATTGTTGTATCTATGTTATCACTATTGCTTTAGCATTAAGAGATCGGAATTAGGTATCAATTGTATTAGATACTGTACATGAATCTAATAAAAAGTAAAGCTCTTACCATGAGAATTTGCAATCTAAACAAAATAATACTAACGTGATACCAGGAAATCTTGACAATAATAAATATGCTTGTCCATTAAAGGTCATATTTCAAAAGACAGCTTCCCTTCTGCACTTGCAAAATTTGCATTTGTATTTTTGCATCTGCACTGAAGTATGGATGCAAATATGGTTACCTGATCCTCATGGTAAGTGCAAATATTTGGACACAGTTTTTGGGGGTTCCAAAATAGAATTTACAATTTGGACCTACAGAAAGAGAGACTGTCAGCCCTTTGTAAAATTTAGCCCTAAGTCTTTTAAATAACAACACAAACATGAGGTTGTCCAAAGTGTCTTCAGTGTCTTTGAACAAGCTATTGGAACCAGTTAGCTTTTTTAAAACTGTAAATGCATGAATATGTTAATGGAGAAAAATAAGAATGCATTTGCACACCTATTCAATTCTCATTGAAGTCAGAGGAAACTGACTTCCACTGGAATTGGATCAGGCTATTATTTGCATGTGCAAGTGCGTTGATAAACACATGGACCAAATGAGCACTTAGGAGTCTTAACCACACATAGTAACTGAAGTTACTATGTGAAAATAGCAAAGATTGCAGAGATGCAGGCAAGCTTTGGTGCACCCAGAGCTCCTTTGACCCAGAGCTCCAGCTGTAGTAACCCACACACCTACTGGATATGGGGCCCTGTCCAGTATAAAGGCACTTAGACCACTTACAGAGAGGAAGAATGAGTTTGCTCTACAACAGGGGGCCTCTGACCCACAGAAAAATCACTCACAAGACAGAAGCCCCCACTGTGAAGGAAAAAGGCACCCCTCACATTCCTCTCACACACCAGAGCCTAGGCAGACCAGGCTAGTGGATTTTGAATGCGCCAGCTAGTGGGTGGCAGTGGGCTAAAGTACCAGCAGGGCTTCCCAATGTGAGAGGGATCCTTGAGCCTCTGGCAAGCCAGATCCAGGGAAGCCAGGGGCCACATTTGTCCCATGGGCCTGAGGTCAATCTGTAGAGGCTCATGCTTCTGAGGTACCAGGTTCAGTTCCACTTGTTGGCATTGCACTATGGCATGTTTGAGGGGTCCAGTTATCTAATTTTCCTTCTCCTCTTCCTCCTCCTTCTCTAGAGGGCCAATACTGGAAGTGTACCTCAAAGATGACCTGGTTGCATTATGAACCCTCCTGTAGAGGGTGCAACTCCAGTCAACATTCTCTCTAGCATCTGTGCTGAGTCTTCCTGTTAACACTTTCTCAAGCCTAAACATCCTGTTTAACATACATGTACAGCAGTCTGCTCCTGCCACATGATGCTGCTTTAGCTGCTGCCTCTGGATATGGTTTAAATTTAATCACGCTTCACAAATCTCAATGTAATTAAAAACCAAGAAGCACTCCTTCATAAATCACTCTTGATTAGTTGAACCGGTTTTAGACAAAATTCTGTGCCCTGTCAAGGAGAGGTATACATATGATGGGTGTTACTGGAAAGGAATTGTTTGTGTTATGCTAGGCTTTAAAAGTTACATGACTGTAACACTGGATAAAAGTACATCTCACAAACCATTCAGCCAGCGGGAATCATGCTGCTCAGTCCTGATTGGATGATGGTGCCCCAGAGTTCGGAAAATGGCAAAATCTCTACCCATGAAGTCTGCTGCTGTCCCAGAGTACAGCTCTCCATCTGTGGAATGATAGAAGATAACTGTAAATGTTCTGTCAAGAAGTGAACAAATATTGCTGCCTGTTACACTACTCCCAAAATCTGCAGAGATCATGTGCCAAGCACCAAAAATCATGAGATTGGCTTAAAAGTTGAGAGATTTCTAAAAATAATGAGTGATGGGTATTCTTTATTTGCCTTTTGGATGGTCTGGGGTTACATTTTCAGGATTTTCCCAGAAACCGTGAGGCTAGAAACTTAGGTTGTTTTTTTTTTTAATTAAAGCTGAATTTCTCACATGATCACTTGCTGTTAGAACATTGGGCATTTAAGAGAAATACCAAATATTGCGATACTTGTGATAAAATAGAAAGAGCTGGCAATTTTGCTTTTATGTTATAGACTAATGGGGGACCAAGCCATATTGGTATTATCATATTTAAACTTTATTCTTCCTATTAAAGATGTATGCGCATACTACCACTTGTTGACACCTTAAAGGGGCACGGGCTGGCTACGATGCCCGTGCCAGGTGCAAGCCTGCCAGCACCCAGCTAGCAGACCCTGCACCTGGCACGGCTCGAGC